CCTGCAAGAGTAGGTTGTCTATTGTCTGTATTCATAACCTATCATATGAAGTATAGCAAATTGGAAAGACAACAGAAATATATGTGTAACTGAAGTCTAATGTAATTCAGATATGGTTGGCCCCAGCGGAGACTGGGAGAATTAAGCGATCTGCCGAGAGTGCGTGGTGTTAGTAGCCCCTTTTATGTCATACTGATAAGACTCATCCTTGACCTTCTTTCTGCCTGCAGTGCTCTGACACTTCACATAAAAAAACTTTGCAGAAGAGCTCAGCATTTTTTTGCAAGGTTCTGCAGTGAGAAAGACCACTTCACTTATGAAATAAGCCTGTATTGCAGCATAGAGATTTTCTAGGGTTGATATTGTCAACGTTTAATGCCATGAGAAAACCAGAGGACAATTAGAGATTGCTGAGCCACAACACATGAGGAGGAGAGAGCAAATATTCCACCTTACCCAGTTCTCCAGTGTGACTGGCATGCACATTGAGGTGGGAGACCATATTTAGTAGTTAGGGCAGTGCACTCTGCCCAACCTCTGAACTCTGGCTTCTCTGGGAAAAAATGACCATCAGTCAGATGGAAATGGCCAGCACATTCCAGTTGGGTAAACTGTGGCAGTTGTCACACCTTGCAGTGGGACCTTCTCATGTTTTAGGTACTGCAGAGTAGTTTCTAACCCTCTGTGCAGCCATGATCCTTATGTCCTGTGATAAAATGTCAGAATTTGATTACTAGCACAGCGGAGTCCCCAGCACAGTTCAAAACATCTGATATAATACAGATTATAATAAATAACTCCCCTGGATATCCCAGCCTCTTGAAGTAATTGTCACATCCTGAAGTAGGCTCCAGTTCTGCAGTACACAGTAAATGGTACAACCAGTATTGTGGAGTATGGTTTTTACTGTCTCTCCCAAAGCCTCTACTTATTTTCTGCTGCTGAAACTGGGTGATCTGCTGTTGACTACCCTTACATGCATCTGTTAGCCTGTAACATGTCTACATCATGGACTAACAAGTAACTACTGGCTCTAATGAGCTTGGAAGCATTGAGGAGGGCAATGTTGCCTTTATGGTGTGCAGGAACAGGATAATACTTCTGTGTTAATTATAATTCTGTTGTGCTCATTACTTTAAGTAGGGCAGGCTGTACCCACAAAGCTTGTCATGAGTGAAATGTTGAACAAGCTCACACAAACAGGCATTATTAAAACTTAGGTTGTTTAAGGATCCCAAAGCTGTGTACCAAATCTCCTTTCCAGTGGATGCATTTAGGATTCTACTTTGTTGGCTTGTAAATTTTTTGTTGTGTGATCCACTGTGCTGAAGCACATGTGGGAAGGAGAGATAACATTCTTATTTGCTTATGGGATGAGAGAGTGAGGGGTAGTGGAAAAAGAGGTGTGCAGCAGGACCCCAGCAGAGGAACTGTTTTGCAGAGTTTTGCTCCTGCACAGCCCGTGTGATATGAAGGAGCTGAACAGTAGGTGTAAAGCAACTTTTTCAGTCAATGTAACTGCAGTCAACAGAACTTATTTTGCATTGGTAAAACCACTATTTGTATGAAGAAGCAAAGGCAGGAAGGATGGAGGGGGAGAAGAAGCATTTAAAGCTTAGATGTTTTTTTCTTCTTTGAAGATTGCTAAATAGTATGGTATAGCATTTGGCTTGTAGCAGGTTTGCCCTTTTCCTAGCTGAGTCAGTGCAGTTTGGTGTCTCAACAAGCACAGAGAAGTCTTGTTTCCTGTGCAGAGAAAGGCTTTGGCCATTTTGTAAGTACTTCTTGTTTCAGAGAGTTCATCAGTCCCAAACTGCATTGCTTTGAGGCTCAGTTTGGCAAGGGATAATGGTAGAAGCCTTGAACAGCAGCAGAATTAGGTTAATGGTGGGCACAGAACAGGTGGGAAATCCCCTGAATGCAAATATGACTACAAGGGAGAAAAATTAAGCATTCACTGGTTGGAGAGAGTGATGGGTTTTAGGACAAAAGGTGTTTATGTGTGTACATCTGTCCGAAATGTCCATCAGCGTTATGGTGGTATATGCAGTCCTGGATGTAGTGTGCAAGACATCAGAATTCTATAAACCTGGAGGTATTATTAAAACTCCTGTAAGAAAACAATGGCATCTCAAAATGTGAGGTTCAGGCTGGGCATTTGCATGTCAGTTCTGGTTCTCCCCAAAAGCCAGCTCCTACAGACTTGCATTCCATAAACGTTTGATTTCACATGTGTCTGTGAAACACTTCTGTTTTGCTGGGCTTATGTTAGTGACAGATAGGGCTCCATGTTCATTTCTGAGTTATGTTGTTTCTACTCCTGAAAGTAGCATAAATATTGCATGTTGTATTTGATGTTTCAAAGGAATCCTTTAAAAAGAGCACAGAAGCCTTGTATCTTACCTGTTGTATTGTTTTGGACAGAAGCCCTAAAGTTACCAAATTATTCAGCATTCTTCTTAAATACCTAATGCTTAATTCTGTCATATTTCCTGCTCTCCTTTACTCATCTCTCTACCTTTGATTCTATTTTTCTTGTCTCACTTTTGCTTGCCTTCAAATTGAATCATAGCAGTGGTGTGTACTGCCTGAGTGGCCACCCTCTGTGATTCTGATCTGTGCTTCAGTTTGTCCTGTCTGAATGTATCTCTTCAAATGGCTACTCTAGAAGTATTTAATAGCACTAGCAGTGATATCTAATCAGCTGCAGTCTCCAAGCTGCTATAATAACCAAAGTTAATAATGGTGTTGGTTTTGATCTTCCCCATTGTCTCCTTTAACTGAAAGAACATGCAGTGCAGTAATCTGCACATGCTCACTCTCGTTTTCTCCGTCTCAGTCTCTTTTTAATGTGTCCTAACATGTGAATGCTCTTTCACTTGGCATACATTTACACTAAAACATACTCAGAA